GTATTAATTTTTACATAATATTAAGACGGAGACTTGCAGTGGGTCCACGAGTCGGTGTCGCGACATTTTATACACCCTATCATTAATTCATATCATTCAAAGTATGTCAGCTAACTATTGGTTTTTCTTTCTGATCCACGCGCAACAAATCTACGTCCAACCCCAAAATAGTGTGGTTACTTTTAATATTGGAGCGAATTCGCCAATTCTCAAACCTTAGGTTACGAAGAACACCTGTGTCCCTACGACGTTCGTTATATTACGATATTTTGGCCGCATATTCATCACATAATAATATTGCTGTATTTATCTAATATCATTTTTAATTATATAGGTACATTATCATGCATAGAGTAATATATAGAAGCCGTTACATATATCTTCCGTACGGTGCATCCGAATTGCATGCCAAAAAAAATAAATATAAATCGGGTCTGTCCAAATTGCATGCCGTCTCTTGGAGGGGTCTGTCTGAACTGCATTCCATCTCTTAGAGGGGTATATCCGAATAAATAACTTACTTTTCAACTGGAGGATCGGGATTTTGTTACATTACAATAAAACATATTATAAATATTGTAGAAGGTAACACTGTGTATAAGAATCATAAAATAAAACTATTTTTTTTCATCGACAATAAAAGCCATTAGTTAAATAAAACTATTGTAGTTTAGGGTAATCAAGTGAGTGTATTTTAAATAATATTATTTTTAAATTTTGTTTTTTTTCTTGACATTTCGGGCACACGATATTACAATTTAAATAAACAAAATAACATATAATAATAAAATATGTCAATATAGAAACATCTTTTTTTGAATATTAAAATAGTTTAATAACATTTTTTTAAAAAAATTTGGCAAGTCCAAAAAAAGTTTAAGTTATTTAAGTGCATAGTAAATAAACGTGTGGTGTACAGCATGCAATCCGGACAAAGCCCTCTAAGAGATGGCATGCAATTGGGACAGACCCCTCCAAAAGATGGCACGCAATTCGGACAGTCCAATACAGGAGACGGTATGCAATTCGGACATTTTTTTTTTTGTTTGCAATTCGGATGCAGCCCTTCCGTATTCTAGTAGTGAAGCCAAATTTTCGGTCGTTGACCCTTATCGAGAGTCCAACTACGCTCTCTCTGTCCGCTAGAGATCGCTTAGTACGAGTAGTTAGGGTGTCTTACATATCCAAGTATATTAAGTATCCAAGTAGTATTAATATTTAATATGCATGCAAACAGAAAAAATATTAAAATCATATAATTACCAAAATAAAACAATTAATAAATTATTCATTCAAACAAAAGTTCTTTCTCATTTTATGAATAATAATTCAATATTCAGTTCTTTAAATAACCATAGCATAGACAGCAATAGTTCATTATCTGACCACTTAACACATTTAATTAAATCAATATCATCAACATACATGAGCTTGAAAATAAAATATTCTATTAAATCCTATAATGAAACACCCTCTCTTCGTATGAGGTACAATAAACTAACGTTATTTAAAGGACAGCGATAAATAATTAGATAACTTAATGTTCTTGTTTTTTTTTTTGTTTAAATAATTTATTAAATTTGTTTAAAACTATTTTATAAATATATACAAATTAATTACCTAATCAAGATAAAAATAATAATCATTTTTTTTTTTTAGAACATAATACAAGGCAATTAAAACAGAAAATACAACTCAATTCGTTAAAATTATACATCATCATAAAACATTAAAACCAATATATTCCCCTTAATTATAATATTGTAATAGTAAAGTTTAACTTACAACAACGATTCTTCTATTATGAACCAACAATTTTGAAAAGTTTTATTTATTTATAAAAACACAAATTATGACTTATTTAATATTTAATATTATTATTAATATAGGTACTTATTTTACTTTAATTTATATTAATTTGTTCATTAGCTTCTAACTACATGTGTATAAAAACAACTGTCCAACATTGGCACACAATATTATAATTTGTAATTATGTATATGAATCTTTAGTAGGTATTACAAATTAAATAAATTATTAAACTAATACCTACCTTCTGAAATCTGAGTTCTAGACTTCTAGTTACTTAGGTTCAAACTTATTTTAATTCTTATCAATAACTGGTGGTCCAAAAACGCCGGTGATACTACCAAAATGCATTGAATATTGCATATTATAATATATTAATGATATTTATTGTATTAAATTTTGTTCTAAATAAACGATTAACCGTATTACAAGTATTAATAACGTATTAGTGTTAATTTACAAGTATAATGGATTTAAAACTAAGTAATAACATTAGGAGTATGACTAAGGAAGTTAAAAAAAGGTAGGTACCTAGAAAAGATATTTAATATCAACTGCAGTGATCCATATTTTATGCTTAAAGATCCATCTATTGAATGGTCTAACAATTTAGATTTAGTACCAGATGTAACATATCCTGATATATTTAATTACCTTGTTTTAACTAAAAGTGCATACACTTTACAAGAGTTTAAGGCTTATAAAAGTTTAGAAGCGTATAATTTTTTTGTAAGTGGATGGATATCCAATGTAAAATGGCTAGATATTAATAATAACACGCTTGTAGTTTCAGAGGTGAGTTTATGCTTAAAATCTGCTGTTAAAAATGTTTATTTTGCTTAGTATAATTTTGCTTTTGCTTTGAACAATTTATAGGTGTGTCATTCTCAAAGGTTGAATGATACCAAAATGGCTTATTTTAAAAAAATCTGGAGATGTGTTAGCTGCTCATTGTACTTGCATGGCTGGTCTAGGAGAATGTTGTTCGCATGTTGGCGCTGTGCTATTTTTTCTTCAGTACATTAGCTTGAAAAAATCTGAATCAGAAATATCAGTTACTGATGTCTCAGCATATTGGGTTACCCCTTCAAAGAAAAATATTGAACCAAAAAAAATATCTTCTATAGATTTTAGCCATCCAAAAACTATTGATCCATATTGTTCACTTACATATAAATCAAAAACTGATTTGATTAAAATACTACCTAAAACACTTTCAAGATAATGATACTTTTCATAATTTTCTTTCGAAGTTAGAAAAAATAAATAGTAATGCTGGTATTTTAAAGGTAGTATCCCCTTACAATTTAAAATTTAAAATTAACTCTTTTCCTAAAAGTCTTAATAGAATTTATAAAGATGAAAATGCACTACTTAGTAGAGAAGAGCTAATAACATTACGTTCTAGTATGGATTTTTCTGTGAATGATTGTAACAAAATTGAAGAACTTACTAGATTACAGTCACAATCTAAAGAATGGTTTTTGTATAGAAGTGGACGTATAACTGCATACAGAGTCAAGGATGTGTGTTCAGTAAAAACGTATAACTCAAATATAATCCTTATTAAATCTATTTTGTTATCCCTTAAATAATAAATTTAAAAATGCAGCAACAGAATAGGGTAATACTAATGAAAGTAATGGCAGAATATTATACATTGAAAAATTAAAAACAACCATATAAATTTTTCAGTTACTGAATCTGGATTAGTCATTAATTCAAATATCTCATACATGGGGGCATGTCCAGATGGGATAATTAACTGTAACTGTTGTGGAAAAGGTTGTCTGGAAATAAAATGTCCCTATAGTCTAAGTCAGGGAAACGATATAGAAAACCTTGACTATTTAACAGATGGAAATTTGAAAAACAACCATCCATACTTCTACCAAGTTCAAACACAGATGCTGATTTGTGGTGTAAATTATGCAGATTTTGATATTTGGTCGCCAAATAACTACCACATAGAACGCATCAACATAAACCACCAATTGTGTAATGAAATATTTATTAAATCAAAATGGTTCGTTTATGAAGCTATTTTACCTGAGTTACTGGGAAGATTTGTTACTACAAATGCTGACAAAAATCTTGTTTCAACTACAAATCAACAATATTTTAGTGGACAAGTATATCCTTATTGTATGTGTAAGACAGACAAAGGGGGTAAAATGTTAATGTGTTCTCAAGAAGGGTGTTTAAATCTTTGGCACCATTATACATGTTTAGGTATAAAACGCAAGCCAAACAAAAATTGGGAATGTTCAACCTGTAAATAATATTTTAAAGTTTTAAATATTGTCTATTATGTAATAATTTATTAATTTTATTTTATTATTTTAGTTAAATAAATAAACATTTCATATTTATAATTAAGTAAGCTTAAACAAATTATATAAATGTAATATACTTAATCTAAAGGTACAACTGAACTACATAAATTTATAAAAGAGCAACATACATTAACAATCGAATCAAGGAGACATGATTTGTCACTTTGGTGTTTAAGAGTACTTATTTGAACAGGGCCATTAAGTATTGTGTATTTTGAACGAGTTAAACCTATAACTCGTTCTACATGAATTCAAACAGACGCTATTTTTCTTGTTTCCTCAATACTACAAGGATGTAACTGAGGCTGTCCTCTGGTGAATGCAGGAGTTTTTAATGTAGCATAACGAAATACAACACTTTCATTTATTGTAAATCCTCTATCAGCCAACAGCCAACACTATATCCCCAGGCAATAAATTTTCTAAGAAGTTGCAATTTTCTGTTATATGCTTATCACTGACTCTACCCCCCAACCTTCAGATATATATGAAATAATACCTTGTGGAGTAATTGCAATCAAGTATTTTACAGTGTTTTTAATTTTATAAGATTAAAAACAATAACAATAAATAGATAATGTAACATTCATCACTAGGAGGTCAATTTCACTATTTCAGTACGCGATCGATTGGGGCATTCAATCAAACTTCGAATTATTGAATAGGTCTAAAGACTTTTAAGAATAAAAATAAATAGCATTTATGATTGAATAATTTATTGTTTGGAGGAATGATATAATTATTAAATAGGTGTGTTAGCAGTATACCGATTTGGAAACAAATCGCGCATCCACCTTCCACCCAGCATAGGGATATGGTGTAAGCATGACAATTTGTACGATTGGCTACTGGTCACCTCCACAACGTTCCCACGACCGGTCCGAGCGTCGACGAGCAAGTTTGCTCGGACACGTGACGGCCTTTCCCAGCCGCCGAGGCCAGACTGAGACGGCCACGAGAGCGACGGCCGAACTCACTGCCGAAGGCTACAAACAGCGGCGACTGGTGCTCGATGTAGTGCGCTTTGACGGTCGATACTTGATGGTGACGACTCTGACCCGGCAGAAACGGAGCGAGCGGATCGAGTTCTGGAGCCTGCGCAATCGGCGGTCACCACGATGGACAAGCGACCTTGTCGACGTGAGATAACCGCATGGCAAAGGCCGATCGTCAGCGGACCGCGGCGCAACTCACCGCTGACCTCGAATCTCGGTAATTTTCGCCCTGGCGTTTTCGTCGTCATCGTTTATGAGGGTCCGGCAGACAGCAGCGCTGACTTCCGTGATCCTAGCGGCTGACACACATCACTACCATTCACTCCGCTGCCGCCGTAATGAGTCGCCATCGCTGGCGCGAGTCCGTGGCTCCACGCGAGTACGCGACCGTACTGCCGCCGGACGCTCACCGAGCAGCCAGAGGGTCTCACGCGTCAACGCCGACCCAGTGCAATACGTCTGTGAAATCTGTCCCGTCGTGGGTGATCGGAGTCGGAGAATGTGTTCAGGTACCATCGACAGGCTCCAACTCCGAGAACGGCGATCCGACTGGCCAACGAAAATATTGACTCCTCGACTGTAGCTCAGTAGATTTAAACACGTCGCCGTCTTCATCATCATCAGTCTCAGAATCGTTGACGGTCTCATCATCATCGTTCTGAACGAGTAAATACTGTTCTTGCTGACTAAGCGAATAGGTATCTGCGATTGAGACCTTTTTTTCAGAGTCATCCGAGCTTATCTAATCAAAAACCAATTACGTTGCATAATATATTGTAAATCGTAACTACAAGAAGAATGTACTTTTTCAATAGAAACATTTGACCCTGCTTCATGTTGAGTATTGTGGTTCCGTTTTCCGTTCTCTCCAATGTTTCCAATTTCCGATTCGTTTGTATTTGCCAATTTCTCAAGCCGGTATTTTTTCTCCATATTGTTCCCACGAGTTGGGATGAAATAAAAAGTCGCACTGCGGCAGTGCAGCGTAACGCAGTGAAGGCAAATACTGTGAGGGGTGCCAAGTCCCCACAGGTTCCAAGTGGACACAAACTGACCTCTGTGTCAAGTACTCCCCCTTCACGAGTTTGGGGATTGAGGGTTTTTTTTTAGGGTTATCTTTTCCTTAGGGCATTAGCTCAAAAGCAAACGCTTTCCTAGGTGAAAAAGGCCTCCTATAAACAAATAATTGGAAAGACGTAAGTAACATATTTTGCTTCTAACAAAAATACAAATTTCTAGCATATTACCCATTGACTATTGGTCATGTATATCACTTGGTAATATAATATAATCAATGTCTTAAAAAATTTGTTTTTACATTTCTGTTTTGCTTAGGCTTCTGAAATGGTTGAATTCTTTAATAAATATTTTGACTTATTTAATACTCAACATAAATATGATAAAGGGTTTTGGTTTAGATTATGAAAGTCAAGAACTAATTATAAATATGATGACAACATTTATTAAAAATATGAGAATTCATGACAAGAAGACACTGCTTCCTTTTCAAAAAGGTTTGCTTATACAAATAAGTATAATGTTGAACATAAATTAATATAAATTTGTGTTAATTTATACTTCATAGGAATATTAATATCAAATATATCACTCTTGAATTTGTATAAAGATGTTAAATGTATATTTCCTTATATTCTTACTAACTAAACCAAGATATTCTGGAAAATATGCTTAGTTATCTAAAGAGGATGGCTGGATTAGCAAGTAATAATATTACAGCATTAGATTTCAAATATTGGTAATTATAAGTGTGATATATAGTTTTATTTTTGTTAACAGCTCACATTTAAAATTTTCTTTTATGAACATTATTATTTAGTCTCCGATGGAATATTTTGGAGAAACATAAAATTTTGTTTTCATAAATATAGAAACTGTACTAGCATATAAATTGTTTGATGACAATGAGTGTTTGGCAAGTCAAAAAACTTAAGTGGCTTTATTGTATGCTAAAAATTTTCAACAAATATATCAGTTCAGGATAAACTATGGCTTTGTTAAAAGATTTTGAACTTGAAGTACATTAACCATGATAATAATATATTTAAACATTTAGCCATTTATGTACATTTACATAATTAAACACTTTTTTAATTTTTTAGATAAATATAGAAGATGTGTTTGACAGCGTGGAATTGGAATGCGTAGAGCATGTTGCTGAATATGTCACCAGCAGATATTATGAAAAATATCCACAACTCACATCTACTAAAGAGGAACATACCATGTGTTGGACAAATTTTTTATTAAAAATTCCAAGTAAAATGTTGTTAAAAGCTATGCAATTATTAGAAACATATTTTACAAAACAACACGGAAAAAATGTATCCAAAATACCTGGAGTCATGAAAAGCATAACCAACATCACGAAAAAAAAAATCCTCAGACTATAAGTTGGACATTCCTGAGGAGGGTTGAGTTGTATGGTTTGATTAGTGTAAAGAACATGAATAAATCCATATTGTATAATAGGTTTGCACAAAAAACCAAACAAACTAAAAAAAAATTACTGCCTAGAATTTATAATACATAATTGTATAAAGGATTATAATATTATAGTACACTTAGAAATTATAAAATAAAAAATTTACATACTAAATATCATGACAAAGTAGATATTTGTTTTCTTCATGATCTTCCCAACAATTGATGTAATCAAGATTATCTTTTAAAATCATTTATAATAAATACTATACTATTATATTCAAATTGTTATTTATAATTTATATAACTACCTGGAAATCAGGACTTTCGATTTTTATTCCTTCTACAGGGTACTTTCGGTTTAATACATCAAAAAGTTTATCAAATCGATCAGTAAAGAATTGTTTGAGAGCTATTTTTTAAAGATTCTACTTATACATTTCTTCGATAAAATTCTAAGCCTTTGGCCATGGAATCGCTACAAATCTGAAATTAATTAATACATGTATTATATTAAACTTGTTTTTGATCATTGTTTTTTCAAATTTTACCCGAGGGGCCAATTTGACATTCATTTTACTGAAACCATTAACATGTAAATGTCTAAGCGTAATTTTGGGACAAACTTGTTGGGGAATTTGAATTTCTCTTCATATTATTATCACATACATCAATTTAATGTGACCATCTTATGTGTGGAGACTCTTGGAAACCATTTAACATTTAATATTAAAGACAATCATTTGAACTATTTATCTTTTAGAAATACTAAATTTAAAAAACCTAATCTAACCTATATAGTTAATTATCTACAAAAATTATTAGTTTGATTCAGAAAATCTGAAAATCAAACATATAAATACCTACATGTTTTCTAATTTATGAATACCCACCTGCCACTAGTCCTCTGGATACAAAAATTGCAATTGGTTGTGTGTAATTTAGAGCTAAACTCTGAAACATAAACACCAATGTGTTATTGGCATTTTAACCAGAAGATTCACTTCCCCCCCCCCCCCAAAAAAAAAATTCTAAACCACTACAAGTTAGCGTCTGAGAGTTTACACTAAAGCTTTCTCTTAAAAACATTTCATCATAAACCAACATTCTATGTTTTTGTTCAGTTCTGAGAATACCACCTTTTTTTAACTGAAAAAAATCTTTTATTAAACCCAAAGCTAATATCTAATAAAGACAAATATTTCCGGATAGTTCTTCGGCAAAGTAAGGGCAATATTCCTTGTTTCCTTAAAAATCCATAAGTAAAAGGTGATCTGAAAAAATTCGATTATTAATATTTTTGACCATTTTGTCTAAGTGAATATTTTTACCTAATTTTCAACAACATGCATTAGAAAATCCAGCTCTCGGAATAACGTCTATTTTTTAAATTTGTGACTTTACTAGCATTTACAATTTATTGGACTATTGGTTTTTGTGAATTATACAAGTTTGTATGTTTAATTAAATCATTTAATGATTTATTTGTTAAATCCTTTGATTTATTCTGTTACCTAGGTGTGTCTTCAATGTGGTTCTAACATATGATTATATTCCCACTTCCCAGGAGAGAAACTTTTGAAAAAAAAAACAGTGGTTTAATCAATGTTTTGTGACTTTATTTTATGATCAGATTTTACTATTTATACTATTCAATTAAACGGAAATAATTATATTGCTGAATTCGTCATTTCCTGCTTATAGCGTTTGATTTGAATATACATAGGTATTAGGTACTTACATTGATTTAAAACTGTAAGAAATCTATCAAATTACACAGTTTATATTCGACCAAACCGATGACGACGATGACGATGAAGATGACGACGCACTTGTTGGCTAGTAACACACAACGCTGTACCCGTTGTCCGGGAAATATTTTATCCGTGGCAGCTTAGGACGTCATCGCAATAGTTGTGTTTATATCTATTTCTGAGTCCTAACAAGCATATTCTTACGTCACCAAAATCATAAATTTCGAATATTCCAACGTCAACATTATAGTAGTCGTCAATAAAGCAGATAATAACTAAAGCAGATCGGAGGACTGTACGGCGAAGACAAACCCGCAATCGAGATCGATGGCAGCGATAACACCGGAAACACATAACGGGCGAATTATCGATTGCAATGGTCGACGCGGTGAAAACGGAATTGGAACTCGGATCAAAGCCGGTCGCTAGAATGGAGTAGGTGCGGCGGGGAAGGTGTGGCCTGTGAGACCGTTGTACCGGTATCACTCGGCGTAGAAGGTTCACGTCATGGTTTGACGAGACGACTCGTCGCCATGCTGTGGAGAGAGCAGTCAAAACCTCAAGACCCGGCGCCTTCTACGTCGTGGTTGCCGAGGAGAATGGCGGCCGTCGGCCGGCACACCTCTCCGCGGCCGACGAACGCCAGACCAAACGGCGGAGACGCGGTAAGTGGTATGTGAAAGAGCACGGATGGTAGGGCGGTAAGTCGCCTGACTAAATACGTTCTCCAGGCCTCTCTCACCTGCGGATAGACGAGATCGCGAGACTATCTGGCGGTCATGCAAGGAGTGACAGACGACGGCGCGGCTGGCTGTGCCAACGATTCCGCCCTGACGACTGCGTGCACGACGGACGGGTGATTGAGAGCTAAAGCTAGGAACACGGACGTCAGCATCGTCGGACCCGCGGACACTTGTCGTGTTTCAGAGCACGGCGGTGCGCAAGTCGTCGGCATAGCGACGGACTCGGACGCTGCCAAGAGTATGGCAGGGCGAAAATCACGGCGAATAATTGGTCACCTCCGTGATTCCTTTCCGGTCCGTCGGCACAGTCCGGAAAGCCTGTGCAAAAATCAAGGGGAGTATCAGGACCGCGGTGCGTTGCGGTTCTGTCTGCGATTCTCTCCTGCAATTTTCGCCCGGTTTTTTTCCCGGTCGCAGCCGATTCCGAAGCACCAATAGCTCTCTCCACTCACCCAGTGTATGATATCTAAGACCGTGTACGAGGCTATTTTTGGACAGTGTACATAATGTCATAATAAAATATTATTGTATTAATTTGTACATTATTATTTTTTTATTTTTAATACTTGTTTGGTGACATGACTAAATTTACTGATGATGAATTAAAAGCGTGCGTATACCCATAAAAGACTTATTTTCTTACAGGTATATACGTATAAATCCAAAAATAGGGATCCGGGTATACACCTAGACAACACCCAATTTTCCTTATTAGCCACAACTTTTCTGACTGAGTGGACATTGAGTTTCGCCTAGTTATAATTTGGTACAGGGAACTTACAATTGCATATCTCAAATACTTTATTCGTCGTAACTGAGTTTCTACTTAAGACGTTCCACAATAAATTTAATTTTTCAAATATAGACTTGGAGATATTATTAACTATGCAAATCTATAATCTGCAAAAAATACGGTAAGGCAAGTACCAAATAAAATTTTATAGCGAGATTTACGATCTGCAAATATGCGTTTAATAGTAAGTAGTAACACTTTTTTTCAGATTCGACAAAAAAGCGTTGTGACTTTGTGAGTACCTACCGGGGGGCGGGGGCCGAAAGCCGTTCTCTTAAAAATGATAAGGAAAAGAAAAACGAGCATATCAATAATTATCTCATACCAACATAAACAAAATGAAATATTCCATTTAATAATTTAATATCAGCTTGTGTGATAACTTGTGCTAAAATAGTTTATTTATGAATTCGTTTCCTTAATCAACATCTTATCAATAAACTTTAAATTGAGCTTTAAAGTTGAAAGTTCACCTACAGGACCTTACCTCAGGAAACATGGCTGTCAATGCACTACTCGACCATGATTATTTTTCAAGTATTATTCATCATTTTGTTTTGATTGAATAATATGAATTGAAAATTGTTTTTTTTTATTGATTCAGGTGTGATTGATGAAGAGGAAGAACATGTTGATTTTGAAGAGGATAACGATGGTATTTTATATGAATTATAGAATATTATGTTGTTAGTTGTGTGGGATACCTCTATTAATATGAATTTTATAAAAAAAATATAAATGCAAGTACAAGCATACTGAACAAAAATTTGACAATGATTTATTTTCTTAGACATATCTTATTGACATTTAGATTGTATCTTATAGATTCACTTTTACTTAATGTAAATTAAATATAGGAAATTTAAAGGAAATATACCCAGTTCCTTATAATTATCAATAGTATAACAGTTTGATTTGGTTATACTATTGATAATTATAAAATTCAAACTGTTTTATTAAAGCAGATACGAACAACTTTATTCTGTAATGATATTAGTTTTATATTATTTTCGTACCCGGTCAACTGGCAAATATACAGAGTCAGCGAGCTGAAACATTTATAGTTTTACCTGGTGTTAGGTTAAATTTTATAGTCATTATGGATAACCTGCATTATAGATATTATAAAAATGGTGCAAGGAATGATAAAACGTGAGTAAGACTGAACAGATGTTATAAACACAGATTATACATTTTAATAAATAGTTTAAGGAATATAAATGATATAGTATTATTTGTTAATTATTGAACTATAATATTATTTATTAATTAGTTATTGTATTATAATATTATTATTTATTTAACCATCCTAAAAGAACATAATTATTTCATCATGCTAATTTTAAAACAAAATTGTTAAGCAAATTACTGTTGGAAGATTCTGTAGATTACTTCAACCGCTGAGTATTAATTATTTTATTGCTATGTAGATATTTAGTGTATGAAAATCAAAAAAATGTTGCTGTACATTGTCCATCAACAGCTTGGGTCAGGACTACAGATATCAAAAAAGGGAATGGTGATATAATGACTCGGTTTCAACACAACCATTTTCCTCCAAATGTTGACATTCCAATGGTCCATTTAAGAAGATCTATTGGTCTGGCTGGAACAAGTACCGGCAATTTGGCTACTTCCATCAGACAAATTTATAACTGAGAAATTGTGTTGTAAGTATTCTGGAATAACGTTATATATTTAAAAATAAACTTTTGTAATAAATTACTAGCATAAATAAGATTAAAGTATTAATTGTACAACATTAACTTAACTGCCTTAGAAATCCAGAAGGTGCACAAAACTACACACATTTACAGTCCGGGTTTTGTCTTAATAAAATTCGACGTCGTCGCCGTCCAAAAAATCCAACCTCTATCGATCAGTTGGCAGATATCTTGAATGAACCAACAACATCTACATCATATATATCAACATTGCAGCGCCCTTCTTCAAGGTTCATGAAATAAATTTCAAATATTTTTTGTTTTATTTATTAATTCTTTATTATTTTACTTACTTATTTTACTTAGATTTTTTCAACATGATCAGATGGCAGATGGAGAACGAGATGGTGTAGTATTTGCTAATACAGATGCAATCGACAAATATAGGGGAGAACTACTCCAATCCAATACCATCGCAAGAGTAGATGGAACTTTTAAAACTGTGTCGAGAAATCCTCCTGATTTGAAAAAAGGCTGCCTGCTTACTTTTCATATAGTTTTCAGAAATGTGGTAAGTTATTTTTTTTCAACTATTAATTCTATCTACAATCAATATGTTTTTTTTTACCCAGTCTTTTCCAATGGTGTATGCATTGACTATAAGGATGACACAGTCCACACATGAGTCCTTTTTTAGAATTGTACAACAGATTTTATCTTTAAACTACAATCAGTTAACCATCATAACAGATTATAAAGGAGGTTTGATGAACGCAGTAAGTATTGTTTTTCGTTAAACAAAGCTCCAGGGATGTTGGTTCCATTTTTG